TAGATTTCATAGTCAAAACAGTAGAACAGAAGACTGAGTGTGAAAATAGGAGATATCCTGTTAAAACAGGAGATTAAATTAAGAGGGCGTGTCTCCTAGTTAGTCAAACACTTTTTTTTTACCTTTATTTTAAAAAGCATCTTGTACAAAAAAAAATAAATAAAATATAATTGTTCCACCAATAAATGATATATTTTATATTTTTCTTAGCCACCCAAGTAGCACCGAACGGTTTTATTCAGTACTTCAAGGATGCTTTAAAACTGTAAAATAAAACTGCATTTAAAACATAGAAATAATATAGAAGACCAATATAAACATAACATTTAAGCAGAAATTGAAACCTACTGTGCATAAAAACGCGTCTCTGCGCCTGACATCGCAAAATAGTGTGTCTAGAAGCTTGCGCAATATGCATGACTTGTCCCTGTAGTGTTGCCAAATATATTAAACATACCTAACAGAAAAGAATTTTAAATTAATTAATTTTTAAATTATATGATTTAAACAGTTTATATCTACGAAATATCGCCACAAAATAACTTATACACATTTAAATAATCAACTAATAATATTTATGTGTAATTACATTCCCAAAAATATATACAAATACCGTATTAATGTCATTAATACCGTATTTTTAATGTTCAATAAGCGATTCACCTACAAATTCAATATTGACCTGGCAATAGCACTAAAATCCGGTGTTTCAAGGCTATATGACGCTGCCCTTACAGGACCGTTTGTAGTTTATTATTTATGCCGCGTTTGAGAATCCACATCGGATGCATCTGAGATGTAGTAAGTAGTAAATCTTTGATCACGTGATTCAGTATACGTAAATGTAATGGGACAGATGTGTCCGATGTGGATAAAAAACGCTCGAGATGTAAAAAATGCATCCGATGTGGATTCTCAAACGCGGCATTAATTACACGATGAAAGTGGCATTTTATTTTTAGTTTTGTGTAGTGTTTAGTCAAATCCTAGGTACAATAAAAGACATTTTTACATTGGCTAATGAAAATGTAATCAATGTATTAGACAGCTGTTATATTTATTACAAGATTTATGTCTGCAAATCTAAACCTACCTAAGAATTATAATTATTTAAATAGAGAGCTGTATATTTATATACAGGCTGCCCAGCGACGGGGAGACATTATCGATATCGGTTTTAAGGCATTTTAAAACATAAACCCGATCTCAACAATCTTAGGAACTCTTCTGTCACTCGATATTTTAATCGGTACTTCCTCTTCGCTTTTTGGCTGGCACAACAATTATTTACATTTCTTCATTCCTTACCGCGTTCGAACCAGTAAGGTTTAAAGAAATTTAAAAAAAAAACCTGCTTTAAAAATAAAGATGTTAATGATTTTCTTATGGATCCCATCTTCAGATCTTGACTTAATGTATATAAAACTGTTTCCTTTTCTAACAAAAATAATCCTAGAAATCGGGCAACGTGGTAAAGAATTATCGCTCAACATACATAAAAAAATATTTCAACGAATTGAGAATATCCTACCATTTTGAAGTATGTTAAAAAAAATTGTTAATAAAGTGAAAAGTAGGGCATGAACATATATTATAAAGTATATAAAATGATAGATAAATCCAGTTTAGAAGGTATTACAAATAAACTGTGGAAATATCGAGAATCTCGATTTTGAATCGGAAAAATATTCTACGCAATTTAGTATGAAAGCTGATCAAAATGAAACACATGAACGACAAACTGTTATTGACAACTTTCTTCAAACGTTTTCTATTTTTCCGAAAAATAACTAGATAGTTCGAAAATCATTTCCTTCGTTAAAACGCCTCTTGTTCCGAAAAAGGTACACGCCTGCCAACATTCATCGTTCATTAAAAAAGTGGTAGATACAAAACGCTTCATATTGTAAGGCCAAAATATATTTAGAAATCGAAATAGTCATATAAACAAAAAAATCATATGAGTGAGATAACTACCAAATTAATGATTTACAAGTTTATTCCTATTATTTATAAAATAGGTTTGCAATGTGCTGGTGTGGAATGTTATCATCGACTAAAAACTTTAAATCTGTGTATTAAATTGATCGAAAACAAACTATAAATTGGTTTAGGCTATATAGAATGTTTCTAGTAAGCAGCAACTAATTTTTATTATGGAACCGAAAGACCCTTTTAAAAAGGTTCAAAATTAAAATAAAATATGTACCAAGTAAATGTAGTAGTATTTATTAATTTTTTAATTTATATTGAAAATGGTAACATGAAAGGTTTTCTGTCTAACGACTCATAGTCTCGGCTGACAAAATGTAAAAAAATATCGAACATAATATTCCTGGGCCCTATTTTGCACTCCCCAGATTAAATTTAGTTGTAGCAAATGATATTATCAAATAAGATGTCAAATCACAAGCAAAATCTCGTGACTACAGTACTAATGATTGCCTGTTTGGAAAAGTATCTTTGTTTGTAAATATTTATATGCATAGTTATATTTAAATGCGCGAGTGTAATGTTAAGTATAAACAAAATCCGCCCATTATGTATATACGTTTAGTTACCGACCCTAGTAGATAGGCAATTTATTATTGTTTTAAGTTTTACCGTAGGGAGAGAGAAAATCAATATTAGGATAAATGGTCCAGCTCCTTTCTGATTACGTAGGTACCTAAAAAGTATTTTAGTTTTTGGTTAAGTAATTAATTATTGTAACAGTGATTTTCTTGTGATAGTACCTAATTTAGATTGTGGATTAAAGTTTTTGTATATAATTTCGCTGTTTAATAATAAACGTAGTCAAAACCGGAGCACGTGGTTTTTCTGGAAAGTATTTTTAAAATCACAAGCAAAATCTCATGACTACTGTACTAATGATTGCCGAAAATTAACTAATTCATATTTTATGCCATATCTTTCTTAATAACGACTGTCAGAACCATATTTACCTTAACTTGAAATTTTTTTAATCGTTTTTTGTATATAATCATCTCTAAAAATGTATGATTGAAATATCGTGCGAACTATTTGTTCGATCAATAAAAAACTTGCACCGGTCCTGTTCGCGCCAGCACCGTTATACGCATGAGCTCCGACACACTATTTTCTCCTTATGGTTTCATTTTTGATATATGGAATCGGCTTTCTATACTATTTCTATGATTTAAAACCAATTAGTTTTAAAAGGAGCCTTAATGTTATAATAAATTCGCCCAAAAAGTTTTTATGGTGCTACTTGGGCAGTGACGTAGCCACGGGGGTCACCATTTCAGCTGTATTCACTTTGTTGATGGAATCCCCTAATAGTTATCAAGAACCCCTCCCATGAAAAATGGTTGGCTACGCCATTGCTCTTAGCCCAGAAGTATAATTTTTAATCCAGAACATTGATTGCTTAATACGTTTGAATTCAAAAATATAAAATATTTGAAGGAATAGAGTAGGATTTTGCCCTTTTTATAAAATGTATCAATAATTTTCTAAACCAATTATAATATAGAATTATTGTTTTTAATTTGAATTGCAAATTGTACAACTAAAGGCGCAAATAAAAAACAATTTGTTCTACAGCTGTTACTCGAATCAAATCGTTTATAAAGTTCATACCCTAGCCACTAGATGCAGAAATAAGTCTGTTTTGCTATTAAGTCCATTTTCGATCCATAAAAGTCGTTTTTATTTAGGTATTGACCTTGGCAAGGTTATTTCTTATTATGCCGCGTTTGAAAATCCACATCCGATGCATTTTTTACATCTCGAGCTTCTGTTTATCCACATCGGACACATCTGTAGGCGTTTGTTTATCCCAGATGTACCTGTCCAAAAAGTAAGTGTTCTGTGAAGCCAAGTTTGTCAATTTATCCTTTGCTTATGCTAGCATGAATATAAAAGTGATTAGTTTGTTTAATTTTTGTTTAGATTTCAAATTTAGGTTGATTTGTAGTCTCAAAAGTCAAATTTAAAAAGTATAAACTTCTAATTTGTCATTGTGATTTTATCACGTGACCAATAAAGTCTAGCGCGTTTGTTTATTACATCTACATTCAGATCTAAATCTCTATCACGTGATAAAAAATTCACAACATCTCGGATACATCCGGTGTGGATATTCAAACACGGCATTTAAAAGTGTGTATAGGTAGGTATTAGCAAGGGAATTTAACTTCTCTAGAAAGTATCCTTGGATATTAGGCATTCCAACAACCTATCAAAATACTGACACGTGGGGACTGACAGTTTAGATATGGCAACCCTGTGGCCTGGTGTCATCTTATATAATATATGTACAGACAGGCTAATACTGCATAAATCTATGCAATGTTGACGTCGCTCTAATAAAATCACTGTTTCTTTATCTAATGCAGACTTTCTCGCTGATATTGGAATCTTCAGCAGTAGCGTACGTAAACCGATTGCATTGGGTTATTTTAAATGTTCCATTCCAGCTATAGCGTGTCTTGACGGCTTCCCAATCTTTATCACTGAAGACTAACACTGTATCATCAGCATATGATACAACTTTACCTTGAATATCAATCTGAGTTTAGGTCTTAATGTATAAATTAAATAGTATAGGTCCCAGAACAGTCCCTTGAGGCACTCCGATTTGTATATTTTCAGGGTTACTCACATTGTCTCTGACCTTTACCTTCTGTTGTCTGTGTGTCAAATAATTATCAAAAACCTTCAACACGATTTCCCTCACTCCATTTAGTTTATCCTCTAAACATTTATATAGGTGCTGCAATAGGTTGTACACCGGAAAAAGCCTATAATAATTAGGAAAGTCATGTGTTGGACACATCAGATTTTTAAAAAATCTGTCGGTCTATCGTTCACACAATATTTTGGCCACATTACTAATTAAACTAATAGGTTTACAGGACCGACTAGAGGGGGGGTAGCCGGGACTAATTCCTGGGGCCCGGCAGCGGAAACACTTTTCCTCCTCTACAAGCTCCTTAAGCAAAAATTTTTCCTCCTGTACTTGAATTGCTTTTTCAAAAAAAAAGGTCCCCAATCTAAAACTTCCCCCTCTTGTCATTCAAGGACTCATTTAAACACCAACCAAACTAGTTACTTAGAAAGAAAAAATACGATTATTAAGCATAATCTTTATTAAATATATCTCCATTGCAATTATAAAATATAACATAAAATTATTTATTTACAACAAACATTTAAACAGTATTCGTATAATAAGATGTACAAATATGGCAGTATGTGGCCTTAGAAAAAATATTGAGATCAACAATAGACCCCTTTACAGAATATAAATAAGACAGAATAAAATTCTTTCACTTAACGTTTTAGATATTCACAAAAAACTTTAAAGCCTTTAAAATAAATTCAATATTGCAAAATTTAATTTACATATCACAATATACATTTTCATACAATATTTGTACAGCCTACAATTAACATTATTAAAGAGGCTTATCACCGATGTCCTACAAAAATTTTACTTCAGGAAATAAAACTTCTAACTTTAAAGATATTTATCGTAGTGAAAAATTAGGAAAAATTGTTACAAAACAATATAAAAATTAAGTAGATAGTTGTTACAAATAGTTTTCTCGAAACATTCATTCTTGAATACAAAATTTTTGCAGAAACATGTACACATTTTTACAAACTATTGAATCATTTGTAAAAATCTATTTTCTTCTAATAGAGAGCTAAGCGATGATGTCATATCATTAACCACCATATTAGAATTAGGTTTATCCCCAATTTTCAAAGGGTGCGTACTACTACTAACACTATCCGAATTATTTACCCAAGACTGACAGTTTTGAACATACTCTAAAGTCCTTTGATAAGTGTCTTGTCTCATTCCGAGCATTGTGGTGCTGCCATTATTAGGCGCAACACCCGGCGACATCTGGGATTGGCTAACATCGTTACACTGTATCTCGTTGATCTGATTACAACACTGGTATCCGATTTTTTTACAATTCGGGCAACTATGTTGATTTGGAACGCACTGATTCGGGTAGGAAGTGTTAGGATAACAATTTTGAGTATAATGCGAGCAAGGTCTTGTTTGCGGCTGGTTCATAATTTCGGATGGAGCTGGAGTCGCCATTGCTGGTGATTGCATCGGTTCTGACATGTTAGGAATGCAGTTGTAGCCACTTTGAAAATTATTGCAATTGTAGTGGTTCTGGTTGTAATGATTGTTACAATAATGATTAGAATTGTTTCCCATATAACTATTTTGTACGTTTATTTGTCGACACGTATGATTATCTTGACATCCACAAGTTTCCCAATGTTGAACGTTATTGGAAAAACAATTTCCATGATTCATTGGTCTGTTATTAAAACAATTCATGTTCATCATTTGAGATGGACATCTCAAAGGCATCTGGTTCATATTATTTTGTTGCATCATATAATTTGGTGATTGATACGGCATATTTGTCATTTGAGAAGACATCATTTGATTCATACTGTTTCCCGTTGGAGAAGGCACCATTTGATTCAAGTTGTGCGTTCCAGGCGAATGCATCATTTGTTTCATGGTATTTGCTGACGGAGAGGGCATCATTTGGGTCAAATTTGCTGCAGGGGAAGGCATCATTTGATTTCGATTGGAAGCAGGCGAAGGCATCATTTGATTTAAGTTTGCAGCAGATGGTGAATGCATCATTTGATTTATGTTGGTTGTAGCTGGAGAATTTAAATTTGAAGACGGTGATGGCATCATGTGCGACATATTCGAAGCTGGAGAAGGCATTACTTGATTAAGATTACTAGAAGCTGGTGATGGCATCATTTGATTGAGATTAGATGCGGGTGAATGCATCATTTGATTAAGATTAGATGCAGGGGAATGCATCATTTGATTTATGTGTGTGTTTGAAGGCGATGGTATCATATTGGACGGCGAATGCATCATCTGATTTAAACTACTAGGTGAAGGTATAATTTGACTTATACCCGAAGGTGACATATTCTGAGGCGATGGCAATGTAAAACCCGATGGAGATGGACTGTCTAAACCCTTCTGATTGGTATCCGACCAGCTCATTACGTTTTGTTTATCTGCAACTTGATTTAGATATCTGACCATCTCGTCTGGTATGACCAATTTATTTTCTACCATTTCCCCTTCGCCTACTTCGTCTAGAACGACAGCCTGGTTGGGATGCAATTCTGATGAATTCGCTGTGCTTTTGAGAGGCGATAGTGAAACCGATGCAGGACGAGGTGGTGGACTTTTCCTATCAGTTTGAGTGTGACACGGTTCTGACATTCTTCGAGCATCAGTACTAGTTGTCGTTGAAGGGATGTTGGAGAGATTTGATGACAGCCACGTTTGTTGGATAGCGGTTTGTTGAAGTGAGATATTCTGCGTCTGAAACAATAATATAATTTAATACACGCAAATTTTTTAAAGAGGGAAATAATTTACCTGTAACACTAAGTTGCTATTGTTAGCTGCGTTAGGTGAATTTTGTAATTTCTGCAATTGGCCTGCTAGGAGATGAGAAGGTGGAGATGGAGGAATACACGCGCCTCCAGTTGTAGTAGTCGATAACTGACTTGATCGCCTGGAGCTTCCTACTGATATAGGATCGTAGAAAGAACCAGGAGCTACTCCAGGCCTCATACTTGACGCCTGCGATGCAAGGCTGCTCTTGCGGCTCATGTCAGCACTTCTCATGCTTCCATAGTAGGAACTAACCGTGGAGTTACTGTCTCTTCGAATTTGGGCTGGAGTATTGCCTATGGTCGGTTGAAGACGTTGTTGGAGATCCGTTAGTTGCGTTTTAGTTTGCGCTGAACCCGTATTACCTAAAGAAATATTAATATTTAGATCCTTTTTTGAGGATTAGAATCAATAACAACATACCTTCCATTTTTAAATCAGTTATCCGTCTATTCAAATCTGCAATATTTTTTCTTTGAGTATTCATGGTGGGGATGGTTGTTGGTTTTCCTTTAGTCAGGTGCTTCATTCTAATTCGTGGTGCTCTTTCGGCTACTGTTAGTCCTCCTCTTTCGCCGCCAATTCCCACCATTGCTCTTAAAACAACTGGAAGTTCGTCGATTTCCAAATCTTCTGCATCGTAAGCCCAAGGTATATCGTCTGATGGCGCGAGGGCTCCTCCAATATCTCCCGGAAGGTCCTCGTTAAAACCGCTGAGAGCTAAAAGAAAGAATTCAAAATTAGATAAAATAAAGAAACTAAATCTCAAAAAAGGGTTATGAAATAATTTTAAATTGTCGCTTACGCCTAATGTTTGCGATAAACTTGTTAATAACTTGGAACTTTCAAACATTTTGAAATAAGTATAACTTGTTTTTAATTTATTATTGGGTTTTAAATCAGTTGTATAAATGACAGAAAAATTATTGGATGGTGAAATACGAAAAAAAAAAAAAAAAGATTTGTAATCACCATTTTCTTCCTATTTTTATAAAATGGTAAAGGCGTAAGCGCACAAAAAGAGGTAAATACAGTTTTTGAAAGTAGGATATTTTTTGAAAGGCGTAAGCGACAAAAATGTCATTATTTTATGTATTATAATTTTATAATCGCCATTTTCTTCTTATTTTTATAAAATGGCAAAGGCGTAAACGCACAAAAAAGGGTAAGTACATTTTTGAAAATATGATATTTTTTGAAAGGCGTAAGCGACAAAAATGTCAATATTTTATATATTATAATTTTGTAATAGCCATTTTCTTCCTATTTTTATAAAATGGCAAAGGCGTAAGCGCACAAAAAGAGGTAAATACAGTTTTTAAAAATAGGATATTTTTTTAAAGGCGTAAGCGACAAAAACGTCATTATTTTATGCATTATAATTTTGTAATCGCCATTTTCTTCCTATTTTTATAAAATGGCAAAAGCGTAAGCGCACAAAAAGAGGTAAATACAGTTGTTGAAAATAGGATATTTTTTGAAAGGCGTATGCGACAAAAATGTCATTATTTTATGTATTATAATTTTATAATCGCCATTTTCTTCCTATTTTTATAAAATGGCAAAAGCGTAAGCGCACAAAAAGAGGTAAATACAGTTTTTGAAAATAGGATATATTTTGAAAGGCGTAAGCGACAAAAATGTCATTATTTTATGTATTATAACTTACTTGTAATCATTTTTACTGCAAACTATTACCATTAGATGTATCAAAATGATTTGCATAAAAAAGTCGCTTACGTCCTTTGGTCAAAACACCATCGATATAAACAAAATAAATAATTTTGCTGTTTTTACCTGCAAGCTGCGTAGTTCCGAGAGGACTTCCTTGTTGATGCTGTCCAGGTGAATTAACATCCGATTCAGATTTGATACTGGGACTGCTAAGACTTGTCGTTTTGTGACTGTGCATGTCTTCGCTTCGGGGACTTGAGTCCAATCCAGCCGGACCATCATCGTGGCCTTGTTCGGAACCTTTGTGTTTTTTACTAGCATAGAAGTCTGCTCCGTGTACAGTTTTAACGTGTTTTCGAAGAGAACTAGGATCTGTATACCGTTTCGTGCATCCAGGAGCTTTACACACATATGGTTTCTGTGAAAAATTGATTTTATTATGAACTAATCTATTTTAAAAATTAATATCTAGTTCATGCATGATTTAAAATATGTATGCATTACTTACAATGTATCCATCAAAAGATAGCAATAGAAATAATTATTTAATGAATCAATTTGCTGTCAAATTTCGAATAATAAAAGTGAAAAAATGAATTGGAAATATTTAATTTATTTTATGATATACTGCTATGTTATCCCGTCGTAACCAACCTCTATTTATGGTTGTTAAAGAGTCATAACAATAAAAAATAGTTTTGGCAGAACTGTCATTATTTTAAGTCACATTTAGATTTAGATTATTTGATTTTAGGTTGTAAAACGTAGTAAATTGCAGTATATCACGCCCGTTACCCGATCTCTACATGCTCACACGTAATGATCTAGATAACGCGGCTTATACTATTAATAAACCAATAATATGCTTACCTCGTTACTGTGTGTTCTGTTCTGATGTTTCGCTCTGTCAGATGCATTACTAAAAGCCTTTGCGCATCCAGGATATTCGCATGTGTACGGTTTCTCGCCGGTGTGAGATCGAAGATGAGTCTTGAGATTTTCCAGTCTTGAATAAGCTTTGGCACATCCTTCGAACTAAAAATGAAAAATATTAATAAGTTGAATTAATGGATCAGTATTTAATCTGGGTACCCTAAGGGTGATTACACTGAATATCTTTCTGTGCATAGCTTACTTCTCTTTTTTATATTTATTATTGATTTTTTCGTTTAGCGAATCTGTCAAATAATACAACTATTATACAATTAGCATTTCATTTAAAAAATAAACAATGAAACATTGAGAAACAATAAAATGATTGTTTAAGAATTATGATCAAAACAAGCTTGTTACGAGCTCATGTTCTGTTTAACTTTTAAAATAATTGACATATCTATACCACAGAAAAGCAAAAATGTTTCAACAATTTGAAACATTTTAGCTTCGCAACTGGTAAAATAAACTTGTTTATTTACTTAATTCATTTGATTGTGTGTCATACAAGCCAAAAAAAGGTGAAAAGGACTATAATTAAAACTACTTACAGTGCATTTGTGAGGTTTTTCACCAGTATGTCTCCTCATATGAACAACCAACATATACTGAGCCTTAAAAGGCTTTTCCGCCCTTGAACAGCCCTCCCATCTACATACAAATGATTTCTTATTCGCGTGAATGTGGTCGTTGTTGATGTGCTAAAAAGAATTATAACAAATTTATTATTTTTCTAATTCCGATGGTTTTCTATTATTCACTTACTTTTACTAATTCTTCTTGAGTCCCGAATTCCGTCGAACAGTCTTTCCAATGACAATTAGTTTCTATAAAGTCTCCTGGTTCGTCTTTGAGATCGGTGGGATCACTGTGTCCTTCTAGTCCGCAAGAATTGGGAGATGGCTCTTTTTTCACTTTGGACTTTCTCGGCGTCAACTCGACATCTAATTGAGTTATTGTACTAGTTTCAGACTTTTTTCTGTCGTTTAATATCTGAAAATTATCGTTTTATTGTAACACTTTTTTTTGACTTTTTTTGACTTTTTTGACTTTTTTGACTTTTTTGACTTTTTTGACTTTTTTGACTTTTTTGACTTTTTTGACTTTTTTGACTTTTTTTGACTTTTTGACTTTTTTTTGACTTTTTTGACTTTTTGACTTTTTGACTTTTTTGACTTTTTTTTGACTTTTTTGACTTTTTTTGACTTTTTTTTGACTTTTTTGACTTTTTTGACTTTTTTGACTTTTTTGACTTTTTTGACTTTTTTGACTTTTTTGACTTTTTTTAACTTTTTTGAATTTTTTGACTTTTTTGACTTTGATTTATTTGAATTTTTGGATTTTTTTTGGACTTTTTGGATTTTTTTTGTACTTTTTTGAGACTTTTTGGGACTTTTTCACGACTTTTTTTTACTTTTTTGACTTTTTTGACTTTTTGACTTTTGTGACTTTTGTGACTTTTTTTAACTTTTTTGAATTTTTTGACTTTTTTGACTTTTGACTTTTTGATTTTTTTGAATTTTTTTTTTGGACTTTTTGGATTTTTTTTTGTACTTTTTGAGACTTTTTGGGACTATTTCAGGACTTTTTTTGAACTTTTTGAACTATATATATATCTACCAATAAAAAATATTTTAAACGTAAAGATAACACATAATCTTTACTTACTTCAGTCTTAATATTGTGAGTTACATGAAGCGGGTGATGTCCTAACGAGTACATTGGATGGGGGGGAGGTGCGGCCGGGGGTAGGGGTAGTAACGATCCCGAACTGCGCATGAGATGGGCTTGAAGCTGTTGCAGATGCATAGGATGCATCCCCAAAGCGGGGCTGATTGCCCCAGCTGACAAGTGGCCATATGAACCGCTTGCACTCGACGACCTCGATCCATTGACGATAGAAGCTAGGGAGTTAGGGGAGAATCTTATCATAGAATTGATATCGAAGGAATCGGAGTAAGGGGAGGAGGAAAGCGCACGTTTTCGGGAAGCTCGGATGCTGCCTGGTCGGGGACTGTTTAGTCTAGAACCTGGAGAAATACAGAAAAATTAAATATGAGTCCTAACCAAGGCATTATTATTTTAGTTAGAGGCATCTAGTATGAGTTTAAAGGTTCTGTGTCCTATTATTGTACTTTTTTTGACTTTTTTGACGTTTTCTTTTAACTTTTTTTTGACTTTTTTTGACTTTTTTTTGACTTTTTTTTTGACTTTTTTTTGACTTTTTTTGATTTTTTTTTACTTTTTTTGACTTTTTTGACTTTTTGTTTTACTTTTTTCGACTTTTTGACTTATTTGACATTTGATTTTTTGACTTTTTGATTTTTTTTTTTAATTTTTTGGATTTTTTTTGGACTTTTTTGGATTTTTTTTGTACTTTTTTGGGACTTTTTCGAGACTTTTTTTGAACTTTTTTGAACTTTTTTGAACTTTTTAGCCGTATCATGACATGCTTATACAGCTTAAGTTCTAATTTCAAAAATATTCTTACCATCTATACTAAACGGGAACTCAGAGCTGCCTAAGGTGGATGCTGGATGAACTTCTGTCAGTCCCCGTGCACTTAAGTACTCTGGACTCAATCCCAGACCTGAAAATGAAAATCCTGTTGAAAAATGATTTATTAATATTCGTAGTATTTGTAATATTTGTAATGTTTGTATGACTAGCTAAATTTAGAGCAGAAATCTGCATACAACCTCATACAAATAAATTATTAGTTTATTGCCATTTTTCAAATAACCTGAAAATACGTAGATATACCAATAATGAAGGAAACAGAAGAGCAAACTTTCAGTATAATGCAGTAAAAATATAAATATATGAAATGTAATATGTAATAAAGAAATACTTGTACATAGAGAATTATCTACAATATTACATTATATAATATAACAAACTAGAATAAAGGACCTATTATAAAAGAAGGATATAAAAAACATAATTTATAAAATAAATTAATAAACAAACAATATTCTCTAAAAAGGAAAAAAGACAACTAATATTTTTACTGGAAACTAGTTTCGACCAACGTTGACCACCATCAGGCATTAGAAACAACAGATTATGTTACTCACGATGTAATAATTTTCTAATTTCCTATTTTTTAAATTGATTAATAACCGATAATCATCAGTAGGTACACTATGTACTTACGTAGTAGCTAATAATTACAATTATAACTTGAATTTTAATATACAGTGAGGACAAATAAGTTGGAATATTTTCGATATTTTTCTGTCCAACAATATTTTAACAAAATACAATTGGATGTACTAATGATATCATCACTTTCGTGTACATGACGTTATTAATTTTTTTTTAATAGAGCAATATATTTTTTCTTAATTTTTGAATTACCAATAATAGACGATTACAAAAATATATCTAACACTTATTATTCAAAGTTATTAGTTGTTTTAAATCTTCCTTTTTTTTTCTAATAAAATATTAAAAATTTTTGCTAAATGATGCGTTGCAGTGTCTCTATTTTCAGATCAACTGAAAGCCTCGGGGCCTCGGGTTAAATTTAAAACATCTGCATTTCGGCTAAGAAACACGTGAAGTGCGTGTGTTATTCAGTATAGAAAAAGTGGCTAGGACAAAAAAATTCATGAAATTATAAAAAGCTGATGAATAAGATGAATTTGCAATTTAAATAAGTAATTATTGTAAACAAATTGTTGGATTTTTTTGTTAACTATTCCATATATTCCAAAAAAGAAAGCTAGTAATGAAATGTATCCTCCATAGTTTAATGGGTCTATTATCAAAATGATCAAACAAAAAGATAAAGCTTATTGTCGGTAGAAATTAATATTAAAAAAAAAATTTCAAGTAACCTAGTTGAAATTTTTTTGTGATTTTTAAATATTAATTTCTCAATAAATTCCACGGTAACCTATATATTTTATTGTAAAAAACAAAACCTAAATATTTCAAAAACCTTATTTTTAGTTTTTTTCTACTCCGTCTAATCAATAAATAATAGTATACTTAATTATAATTCAAAAATTGTTGTTGAAGTCTTACTTTCTCGTAAGACAAATACATTTAAAATTTTTTTTTTCACAAAAATTTGCACGGTAAGGTATAGTTAAAAGTTCACTATTAGATAAATAGAGACTTCAACTATTAGAAAAAAAAATAATTTTAGTCATAATCTAATATTTTTTATTTAACATTGGTGGCGAAAGGACCTCCTTAACTCGTTTGTGATGTATATCATTAGTATATTGTATTTGTTTTAATTTATGTTCATCCCACTCTGTAATTGGTTTTTAACTGTCGAGTGGTGTACTAAATAAATAAATAAATAAGTAAAATAAAATTAGTTGAAGGTACAGGGTGATGCGTCATACCTCCAACTTAATATCAGAATAATTACATCGAAAAATTGGGACATTTGGTAGACGTTCAGCTGGTTGCAATAACGTGATGTATTTGAATAACATGAATGTCAATTTCGCACAGCCTAATAAAGTTATAGGATCATTAGCTAAGAGATTATGAAGAGTTCAAATGATTTTTAATATTTTTTGTTACAAATACATAACTAAACTCAAACAAATAATGATTGAGAGTGAAAGCAGGTAGAAATACGACCAAATCGGAGGCGTGCTTATTATTTTTGAGAGGGTACAATTATTTAAAATATTCATACAATTTCTTTTATTTATTTCATGAAAACTTTGCAATATCGTAATTTACCTAATCGTTGTAGTCATTAGTGGGGCTTTATGAAAACGGAGTAATAATTGTGGTAATTATATTACGAACCAAATAAATTAAGAATATTAATAAAAATCACAATATATATTTCAAATTAAAAATAAGAAAGATACCTAATCAGTGGTTGGTTTGGTGACAGAAACAATATTATCAATTTTACTATTTTAATAATGAATTTAACTTTATTTCACAAATTAACGTTTAAATGTTTATTTCAAATTTATGTAACAATGTACAAATTGATACAATAATAATAATTAAATAAATAAACATTTGTATCCTGCTGAGACATTGTTCATGTCTGTGTACAGGAATTAAAAATACAAATTTATATAATAATTTCTAAATGGTAATAGTGAATGGTAAAAATAAAAATTATACCTAAATATATAGACTTCTTTTTGTGTACAAATTTTCTTCTAATCTTCAACCTCAGATTCGTCACTGCTGCTACCGCTATCATCAAAGTTAATTATGATTGGTTCAATATTGTGTTCAATACGGTTGTCTACGTCCCACATTTTTTGCTCTTCTTTTAAAACATGCTGAATGCATTTCTTCCAGTCTTTTGCAGAAACATTTTGAATGGCTTCTTGTAGGTAACGTTGCACGTCCACTAATTTAAATGTTCTGTTTTCTCGTGCCACATATCCTTTTACTTGCGCCCAGATTAATTCTATTGGGTTTAATTCGCAGTGGTATGGTGGTAACCTTAATACTGTAATTCCACGACTTAACGCCATTTCATCCACTGCGAATTTTTTATATTTGTCTCTGTGTAATTTTGTTAACTGAAGTAGTTCTGCCTTTAAACTATCTTTTTTATATTGGATGTTTTTATTAATTAACCATTCTTGAATTGCTCGTTTTTTCCATGATTGTTTCGGTAATGATTCTAAATACCGACTATGATATGGGGCATTGTCCATGACGACGACAGACCCAGGTTTTACAAGTTGAATGATGCCTTCAAACCATTTTTCAAACACCTCCGCATTCATCTCTTCATGATAGTCGCCTGTTTTCTTGGATTTAAATATTAATTCACCATTTGGTAAAAATCCACTGTCGCTTCCTATATGCGTAACTATCAGACGACTACCTTTTCCAGACGGCTGTTTTAACCCAGATGACAAGCCTAGAATAATGGCTTGTCGTGCACTTGTTATATGACCATCCTGCCATACTTTTTTGACCGTATGTCCTTGGTTAACCCACGTCTCATCCATGTAGTAAATTTTTTTTTTGATATTCCGAAATTCCTCAATTTTTCGGAGATAATTTCTTCTCCATACTATTATTTCCTGACGTTCAATGAGAATGCTTTTCCTGTCGACTTTTCCGTACGTAAATTCCATTTCGTGTAAAATTTTCCTCAAAGTTTCTTTACTCATTTGTGGGACCAATTCATGATCGCTAACTGCCTCCAGAACTTTTTGCAAAGTGGGCAGCTCATTTCTGAAAAAGAAACTGTGAATAGTTGTGCGTATACTGTTTTTGGCTTCTTCATCAACTGTGATTTTTTTTCTTCCGCTACTAGTTTTTGGCGTTTGTACTTCCCCATGAATTTTGTTTTCTCTTAGTATTTTGTAAACTGATGATTTTGGTACACCCGTATAATCAGAGCACATATCAACTAATTTATCTTTTGTAATTGTGGAAGTTAATGATGTTGGAACGCCCGGTTGGTTATTCGGAGGTACATCCGTAGAATTACAGCACATATGCACTAAGTTATCTTTTGGTCGCTGATGATCTCTTTCAAGACAGTGAAATACTCGAAGTACAATTTATTTTTCACTTAGCGACCGAGACTTCGACCGTTTTACCCTTTTCGACGTTGAAGGCCCTTCAATGTCTTCCATTTTTTGCATAGTTTTAGAACGGTGTAGAAATATTATTATTTAATGTTTAAACACTTATTAGCACTAATATTTTCACCAATTGTTCTTACAACACGTCGATTACTTACTAACTTAACTGTAAAACTTACAATTTACACCGTATAATTCAAAACCCGATGTTACGCTCGTGGTTAGAAATACACTACTGAGAACGTCATCGATGAGATGGATTTTACGCGTAACAGACAAAGACACAAATATTGCTCCGTACACCGATGCCATTAGTTGTAACAAATACTGAACAATCCATAAAATAATTAATTTTAAATGATCAAGAAATGTATAAGTATTACTCATTACTGATTTTTGTTATAATTAATATCTTTTATTAGTACTATAATTGTATATTATCTATAATTTGTCATAACTTACAACTCTACTACTTACTCTATTTTGATTCTGCTAAAAACTAGTAAGGTAAAATTGAGATATGAACAACACGGTTCACTCTCAATCATTATTTGTTTGAGTATAGCAATAACATTTTTATATAAAAAAATGTATTAATAGAAATTTATGGATTCTATATTATATTAAACACAATTCGTTCGCACCATAATATTTTGTTTGTAAAATAAAACGACAACTAAAAGCAGACCATTGAGAGAAAATGCGAACGAAAATAGATTTATTCTTCCGAACCAGATGCACACAGCGGTTCATGCATGTGTTCACAAACATTCTCGTAAAATTCTTTTTCCATTCTCCGTTGCATTTTTATGGGTGACTGTAAACTACCACGAACTTTGTGAAGTGGTCAAAGAGACTTTCTTTGATCTATACAAAAACCCAACGTCTTATCTTGAGACACTCGAAAATTATGCAGCGATGTTTCTAATTTGACAGCTATTTATTTATTCAGGCCTTTTATTGTTATGGTTAGATTGGTGCCAGGTATCCTTACTAAGAAGTGAATGCATATCAGCGAAACTGTTATTTGTTTTCTAGAAATTTG